ACACAGACTAACATCATCAGGTCAGGACTCTACAGTCTACACTCATCTACAGGTCAGGACTCTACAGTCTACACTCATCTATAGGTCAGGACTCTACAGTTTACACTCATCTATAGGTCAGGACTCTACAGTTTACATTCATCTACAGGCCAGGACTCTTCAGTCTACACTCATCTATAGGTCAGGACTGTACAGTCTACACTCATCTACAGACAAGGACACTACAGTCTACATTCACCTACATGCCAGGCCTCTACAGTCTACACTCATCTACAGGTCAGGACTCTACAGTCTACACTCATCTACAGATCAGGACTCTACAGTCTACACTCATCTACAGGTCAGGACTCTACAGTCTACACTCATCTACAGGTCAGGACTCTACAGTCTACAGGATACATATGTATTCAGTTTCTGTGGTAATGTTCTCCAGGACTGAGGTGGATCCTAAGGAACCAGTTCAGGTGGTCTCTCACAGTTGGGAGACTAGTTGGAAATTGACAGCAGTGAGCTGGAAGCTGCTCTGTCTGTAAAGCTGTATTWGTGGCCGTGCACATGATGTCACTGACCCCCCCAGCTTGTTTTATCTGGTCTCTTTGAACACGCCTGCTGTCCTGACACCTGAGAGCTGTTAAAAGGATGCTGAGCGTGGACAGAGCAGCGTGACGAGCAGCAGGAAGGGTCGGCTCGTTCAAAGCTGTGAATGAACCTGAGAGTAAAACAAGACATCAGAGGCCTGCGCTCGCTTCGCTCCGATCCGAGCAGCCAACGCTCTGCGTTTTAAAGACATTTTCTGAGCGTATAAAAGGAACAAAAGAAGGATTTTAAAGAATTAAAAATGACCTTCAGCCTGGAAAACAGCAGCTGTGTTTCTCTTCCAACATGGACGAGTTGAAAGAAAACAGAAGAACAGACAGGCTTTGAAATAATCTGCTGCAGAGACGAACAGCTTCACAGAAACATGAAACCTGAAACAATAAGGTTTGAACTCAACTCAAACCACAGCTGATGTGTTTAAAGATGAAACAAAACAACAGCTCAGATCTGAGTCTGGATTTTTACTTTTTAAATAAATTAAAATAAAAAACTCTTCAGGTGTCAGAATCAACAGCATCTCATTGTTCACCACGACCCACAATCCTTCTGTGGAGCCCACACAGCCGCTTCCATGGCAACAAGGACTGAATTCAACCTGCAGCTTCAAAACAT